TGTCCTCAAAGCAGGACCAACTTCTGTCTCTATAGGTGACGAAATCGATCAATAGGCGTTGATGCCGACGTAGGGAAAAAATAATACGAACATATGGCTACTTATTTCAAATTTTCCATCCTTCACTTTCCGTCCTTATAGATTCAAAAATTACCTCTCATTTTAGCCCCATTTTTGTTGAAATATCATATATAGGCGATGCGCCATATATAGAAATAGTACATATATGGTTTGTAAAAATAGATTCATTTCCAAAGAGTTACAATTTGGCAACCTTCAAAAGAAGAATCCATCGATATTTGTCATCCATCAGTATACGCAAATCTGCGTGATCATATTTTCAACCAGTTGTCGAATTAGAACTTGTACAGTTTCAAGATGACTAAGATGAGCTCCTGTGGGGTGAACTATTGTCTTTGGCAGTCCAGTTGACCCGGTTTAGTGGATTATCTGGAAACGCTTGCCCACCACTTGCCCTGGCAGTACTCTCGGGACTGCATTCTCTTCCAGAATTCCCATTTCATTCCAAGAAACTGAGAACTGCCGACGAAGGTAGGCCAGCGCTGTCAATGAAGATTTTGCAAGAATTACAGCCAACAACCAACAACCTAGATGAATTCAACGCAACCAAAACTCATCCATCATCAATACTCTTTCATGGAAAAATCATGTCAGATCCATCGCGAAAGCTACCTCACAAAAACTCGGATTCTTATTCAGAGCGAAAAGCTACTTCATACTTCAAATGCTTCCCATGATCTACAAAGCACAGACACGGCTAGTTTTAGAGTATCTTCTGTTCCCACATATGGGTGTCAGAACCCACACATGCGCTGATGCACCCAGATCCCATCCAAAGACGAGTCATTTGCCTGGTTGATGATACCACACTCACTAATTCATTGTCATTATTGGAACGGCGACCTTTCACTCTTATATAGATACTTTTACGGGAAATGTTCATCAGGAATCTTGTTGCGAGACCTGTCTGAGTGTCTGCACATCCTATCGTCGTCAACAACCAGATATGTCGAACAATATTTACCAGAATTCGTTTGTTTGTAGAACGGCTTCGGAATTCTTTGTCAAAGGAAGTATTCCCAAAAAAAATCCAATACCTACCTTCTCTCCCTATCCTCATCCCTAGGTGATGGTTCTTTAGGAGTAGTGATATATCTACTACTCTATATAATAAGCATACCTGTCCTCAAAGTGGGACCAACTTCTGTCTCTATAGGTAACGAAATCGACCCATATAGGCGTTGATGCCGACGTAGGGAAAAAATAATACCGGGTGACCAGTTATATTCTGACCCATTTCAACTGCTCATATCTCCGAAACTATTCAAATTATCGTTGTGCGGTTTGGACTTCTCTATTTTGATATTCTTCAAGTTTTTTGACTGGTTTACCTTCTCACCTGAACTTCCGGTTCTACCGGAAACAAACAAGCCATTATTCAGGTACTTATAGGGCAACTTTGATAACATCGTATAATCTCATTAAACCATTCCAAGAGCAGTAGTTGTTTCAAAGGGTTATAACTCTAATAGTTTTCTAGGAGAACATAACTTGTGATACATTGTTAGATAGAGAAAAGACCAGTCCTTCTGAATGTGCAAAAATATACATGGTAATTCAATGAAATAAAAAAGTTGCCCTATACCTGGATTATTGCTCGTTTCTTTCCGGTAGAACCGGAAGTTCAAGTGAAAAGATGAACACGTCAAAAAAAACTTGAAAAACATCAAAATAAACTAGTCCAAACCGCAGAACGATAACTTGAATGGTTTCAGAGATATGAGCATTTGAAATGGGTCAGAATATAACTCACCCGGTACGAAACTTGTTGAACCAATATGGCTACGAATTTCAAATTTTCAAATTGGTTTTAGCGCGTATGTGATTGATTGTGATTGAAATTCGAATATTTTCGTTTTTAGTTGTACAATTCTTTAGTGTTTGTGTTTTCGTTCATTTTTCATAGACTGAACTTTTTCAACCATGTCTAGTGGAACGAAATGCAGTATTTGTGGAGAAAAGAATACACAGGAATTCTCTTTTCATAAGTAAGTTTGAATTTTCAGATTTTCTTGTTTATATATTGACCTGATTTAAAATCTCATCCTAACGCCAGCAGTTTCCATCCTTCCTTTCTGTCCTTATAGATTCAAAAAGTACCTCTCATTTTGGTCCCATTTTTGTTGAGATATCGTATAGACGATGTGCCATATATAGAAATAGTAGATATATGGGAGTAGTATTGTGAGGTCATGGTGATCACCAACAAAAATGCAATCTTCACAATGCATGATGATGATGATGATTATGATGATGAGCGAAGAAATAAGAATTATAATTGAATTAGAATATCATAGAAAAATCATTTCAGTGAAAGAAGAATGTAAAAATTAACCATTAATAAACCTGGTAATATAAAGAAATGAAATATGGCGGTAGTATAAAATTCTTAAAAAAAAACAGGGAAATTATTTTCCGAACGCTGACAGTCAATAAATCTACCTCGGAAAGTCTCGGCCATAATAAATGAAAATTTAAATTCCTTAGACGTGCCGAGATCAAGTGAAAGATCGCGGAGCATCTCTTTGCAATTCATCTAACTGAATTAACGACTAAGATCGTATAACTTAATCACAGTCGGAGCCTGCAGTGGAGTCCTTGGACTTCATGGACGTGACTTCGTGATACTTTTGGGAAATCCACAAAAAAGGGTTATCTATGAAACGTTTTACGTCGTCTCGATTTGTGTGCCGTATGCCTTATGATTGTATAGTGATGTACGGGGTTATCCATAGAACAGGTCCACCCCTATATTCACGATACCTATTTTTCGTCGTGGAAAAAAATCAAAATAGGGAAGTTGAATGCCGTGATATATCGCTCTTACCGAGGCTCTTACTTTCATGTATTGGAAGGAATATTCTCAAATAAATTATGAACATGAGGAAATGGATATATACAGGGTGTCCCATAAGCGTAAAGACCACGTCAAACCTTGGAAGAATGTAGATCGAAGGATAACCCACCTCCTATGACAAAATTCTCATTATAAAAGTCTTACCGTTTTCGGGATATTTTTGTTGTTGAAAATATTGAAATTTTGCCCCTTTCAATAGTCTTGTCTGTACGGTTGGTACAATTTTACACCTTTTTGATTAATTTTTTCAGTAAATATTGCTGAAGAATGATTTTAACGTATACATCAAAAACATTCTCCGAACATTTTAAAGGGGGGCTGTGAGAAATAATTTTTATTGAAAACTTTGGTAGTGGATATTTAAAAAAAAACAAATATCGAAAACGGTAAGACTTTTATAATGGGAATTTTGTCATATGCAGGTGATTATCCTTTGATCTACATTCTCCCTAGGTTTGACGTGGTCTTTTCGAGACACCCTGTATAAAGAAATACATCGAGAATTCGAATTCTCTATGTGATGAAAATATCAATTCTTTCTCGGTTCATTCAACAGAAAACAACTACTTTCCTGGCTAGATGCCACGACGAACATTGAATTATATCCATTGAACATAGAGAATGCGAATTCTCAATGTATTTCTTATATACAGAGTGAATCTGAAAGTGAGGTATTTTATTCAACAGGGTATATATCTCGCCAAAATAAGATGTTTGGCCAAAAATTGTTTATGTAAAAATGTAAGATAATGGAGGTAGAGGCATTTCAAGGTTTTGTACATTGAGAATCTAATTTTATTAATCTAACATTTATTAGAGGAAATATGATATAAAAATCTCTTCAAAACGAAAATTAATAGGTTGAAAATGTGAAGAGAGTTATTTTAATAATTTATCTGTTTAAATTATTCAACTGTATGGTATATATAATGCTTCTGGTGTTTTTTTTGTGAAAATGTTAACAAAATGTTTCACAGTTGGACCATTAAATACCTGTACCTCCGTTATCTTGAATATTTTATGTCAGCAATATTTTGCCAACTAACTTATTTTGGTGAGATATATATCCTGTTAAAAAGAATACCAGTATATATCCATTTTTTCATGTTCATAATTCATCTGAGAATATTTCTTTTCAATGCTTTCACCCAATCAAGGAGTTCAAAGTTGAACGATAGAAACTTATTTTTATAGACCTTTAATCGGAGATTCGTGATTAGGTTTCCTCAATTCAGAATTTCTTTTCACGTCCTGTAAGATGAATATCAATTTGTCATACATCCAAAAACATTTATCTATGTACCAAGTGTCGAGTTATTAGATCTTAATGCCCGGAGGGTAACATTCACCCGAGGGCTTTTTTTTTCTAATTTCAACATGTAATTTGACACTTTTCAAAACTGACTCACTGACGGATGTTTTGAAACTTTCGTAACCAGCTGCGTGATGTAAAATGTTTCATAACTGGTGAAAATATGGATGGGCGAAGAGGATAGTACATTTTGTGGTGCAATCTGAACTAATACAGTTTCAAAACGAATCTATTTCTTCGCTGATTTGTGACCGTATGCATCATTGACATCATTGTTTGACGTATACTTCAAAGTGACAGGAGAAGTCAACCTGCCTACTAAATTTGGTACATAATTGATAGATATTACTCATGTGGAACAGGCAATTATTTTCGTTCAAGCAACATTTTTCGTCAAAATTAGAAAATAGATTGTATCTAACTAGTTATTCATACACCAAGGTAGTGAAGAATAAACATTATTACCCAGCCCGAGGCTTCAGCCAAGGAGTATATACACATTTTTTTCCACCAGCACTAGCAATATATTTGAATCATTGAAGTCCAGTCAAACTGAAATATGAACCTATCTCTCTACATGAAAGCACATCTTTCCAAATTGAAAGCTACATTATGAAGAAAATAACATGGTGTATGAGGAGGAGGCAAAAACGAACAGAAATGAAGTTAAATGATTAGTTATTATTAGTTATTACGGTGGTTCTGTTCTGTTCACTTATCAATTTTGAAATACTTAGTTTGTATACTCACGTATTTCGTTGAACGAAAATGGGAATTCACCGGTAACGGAACAATTCAATCTGGACTTCAAAAAGGACGTCCATCGATTACGAAAACGGTGTGGTCCTCCTCGGTCATTCTTGCATACTCGTGCCACACGAGAATAGACAGCCTGTAAAATGATGCAATCATGATATTGAATGTTTGATATCAGTCCTAATTGGACGCCCAAAGAAAATATATCAAGTAAATTGGCACACCTCTATTTGAAACAATAAAACACACTTTATAAAACGGAAGTTGTTTCTGATTAAACTCAACATTTGATAGTTGTAATTGAATAATTACCTACCAATCGAATAAAGTGTTATAAAATGGAATATATTATGTTCGCTTCATTTAGAAACATTCATAAAGTACAATGATAATGAATTTCAGTTTAGTTCGTAAGTACATGCTAAATGTCAATAGGTTGATAGTAGATCATTATACATAACGGACAAAGCAAGTATTTGTATATGTATCAAGATGTATCAATTTGCATTTCATTTTCATGAGCAAACGAATGAAATGAAAATTACTCCTCATGAATCATTGGAAAAACGAAAAATCTGTCATATATCGTGAATCGTATAATGACAATTGAAGAAAATATATTGTACTGACGAAGCTATTCAGAGTCAACAGTTTTTATCAAACTCGTTATTTTGGTTGGATTACACTTGAATAATAAATTACACTGTCGCTCGTAAAACATCCCGAATAGCTTTTTGTTCTGTCCTTTTATCGCCATATATCTGTTACCAAAAATTCCACCTAGAAGGAATGGAAAAAGCCAAACCAAACTCCGCAAACTTTGCAATCACAACTTCCGTATCTCCCCTAACATTAGATTTACTAGATCCATTACGAAGTATAGGTATTCGAATCTTGTTTTTGCATGTTTTTCAGCTAAGCTTTCATTTTGAGATAACTGCATCCATTTAGTGATTCAAATCATTCTCCAAATTCCGTAATTTGTACCGAGAATGTCTAAATTGAAAAAATATTTGCATGAAATAAAGAGATAATTATTATTGGTGAAGCAGAAGAAAAAAACGAGGTAAAAAATAACAGTAACGGAAGAAAATGTTCATTCGAATTAAATAAAGAAAATCCCAAAGAAAATGTGACAATATTTAGTGAGTTGAATGTGAAAATAAACATGGTTTTTCTGTAACTAGAAACAAGTTTGCCATTTCATCTCTGTTGACAGGTTACAAAATGTCACTTTTCATAAAATTACTTTTTTTTCATTGGCACCCTGTTTTGCTTATTTGAAGAACGCTTTAGCGTGTTCAATTCCAACATTCTTGAAGACAATTTTTTCAATGAATTTACCACGGCAACACACGACAATAACATTAATGACACGAGAAAAGTGAAGTTTAAACGTTTTAATATGTTTTTTCTACTCACATAACTAAAATGGCATTTAGCGTACGGATATGTACCACGCTAAATGATCGATTAATTACGGATTGTCGATCTGTGATTTATTCAAAATATTAAACACGATACCATTGCTACACGATTTCTTAAACACATTACCATGGCAACGCAGTTCATTAAACACAGCTTCAGTAATTTGAGACATGTCTGGCCTGTCAATTGTATTAACTATCAACTGTTATTTTCGAATTTTGTATCAGATTTATCCAAACAATATTCGTTTGTATCAGAATTCTTCATTAAAAATATACCTATGCGAAATGTAGACGAAAGTGAAATCGAACAGAATGTTCTGGTACTTGCATATTTCCAAGAAGTGCGAATATGAAGCATCCGAAGCATCCATCTTTGAATATTATATTATGAAACAAGTGTTATAAACGTCCTTTTAGTAACGAGTAGTTTAAGCACGAGCGGAGCAGAGCGGAGCGAGTGTTTAATAAACGAGTGTCTAGAAGAGTTTATAAACGCGTTACATACTATGATTTTTCTACGAACTCCAAAAATTACATTAATTAACATACCTGCTATTCCTGCTAACCTACAAAATAATTCGAGAGGAATGGGAATTGAAAACATAATACATACAACTGCATGCAACCAGCGAGACACGTATATAAGTGATATTGGTTGTAGATCTGTCCAGTCCATTGCTTACTAATTGTTTCACGTTTATTGTCATGCTTAGCGCTGAATAAATAAATTGTTCTCAAAGATGGATGCTTCATTTTTACACTTCTTGGAGGTATGTATGTACCTGAACATTCTCTTCGATTTCACTCTCGTCTTCTTTTCGCATATATTTTTAATGAAGAATTCCGATACAAACGAATATTGTTTGAATAATTCTGATACAAAAAACAATTTATTTATTCTGCGCTAAGCATGACAATAAACGTGAAACAAAGGTTAGTAAGCAATGGACTGGACACATCTACAACCAATATCACTTATACGTGTCTCGCTGGTTGCATGCAGTTGCATGTATTATGTTCTCAATATCCATTCCTTTCGAATTATTTTGTTGGTTAGCAGGAATTGCAGGTATGTCAATGTGATTTTCGGAGTTCGTAGAAAAATTATAGTATGTATCGCGTTTGTAAACTCTTCTAGGCACTCGTTTATTAAACACTCGCTCAGCTCTGCTCCGCTCGTGCTTAAACTACTCATTACTAAAAGGACGTTTATAACACTTGTTACATAATATACTATTTCCGTCGACTTCCTATCAACGAGTATGTTTAATGTTTATGAAATTGATCATTAATGAACCCTATTAATGATCAATTTGTCTATTAATGCACGATTGTTGTATAGGCAACCAAACATACACCACCTCCATTCATTAGTTGCGTTTTATTGTCATTGCTACTGACATGGGCGTCGCCAGAATTATTTCCAGTGGGGGGGTGAAATTGTACTCCCAAGGCAATGATCTGTGTAATTCAGAAGCAAACGAAGAATGTGCTACAAGTGAAATTTATTATGATCAAGGTCATATACCATAAAATAGAAAGTACGTTTTCTCCAAGGGTACCTATCATCATTTGAAGAGCTGCAAAATATTCACCTAAAATTATAGATACTTTTTCAAAATTCGTTATACTTTCATTCTTCATAATTCATAATTGCCCATTACTGATGTTTGCGATTTTGAAAACCTGATATTGATATACAGTGTGTAGATGGTAAGGGATTTTCGATTAGCCTAGCTTGCTGAAAAACAAAATTCGAACATAATTTCATTTATAAAAATTTCAATTTGCCATGAAAATGTTTAAAAACACCTGTTTAAAATAAACATCTACCAGGAAACCAAATTTCGAAATTCAGCTTACGGATATAATAGCAACTTTTCTGATCAACTTTTTGCCGTATGTTTTATCATTCATGAGAACGTATAAAGATGCTGAGATACTGAAATTCTCAGATTAGAAAGTGAACTTGAAATTTTCAGACATGAAAAATAGTTATTTATTATACAAGGAGAAAAAAGTAGTAGATTTTAGCTCCAGGTTGTGTTGTCTTCCGACGCGTAGCGGAGGGACACAAAAAACCGTGAGCTAAAATCTAATATTTTTTCCGTGTATAATACACAATTTTTTGTGTGACAGAAGAAAGGACGAATCTATATTGAGAAGATATTACATTATTTTGAAATCTGAAAATTATCGACGTGAAATTTTAGGTTTTTAACAGAAGGGGCAGCCTGCGTTGTAGGCATCTTTATCATTCTTTTGAAGTAATCAAATATCTGATGTCACTTCTGTCAGTCTAATTCTCTGATTTGATTTCAAAAAATTGCGAATTTAGTGGTTGTTTAGATACGTGACCGCGAAGTCGAATGGAAGATAGAAGGACTTGCAGTTCTTTCTCGGAGACGGTATTATTGACTCATTTTTCGGAACTATAGCACAACAAAAGCCATCAACAGTGTATATATATGTGATATATTTCCGGAAAAAAAGTACTAACTTTTTTCCCACGGGAAAAAAGTAATTTATGAAAAGTGACGTTTTATAACCTGCCAACAGAGATGAAATGCCAAACTTTTTTCCAGTCACAGAAAAATAGCATATTGTTTAACGAGCACGGCTTGTAGCCATCTGATTTTCCCTTTAGTAATACTCATCTATTAGACCGAGTTGTCATTACTCGAAATTTGATATTTCATTGGAGATGAGATTTTGTTGAATAAATAACACAATGCATTGTGATATCAGATACAGAAATAAAATTGATGACATACAAAGTACCTCATTGATTTATCGAACATAGTAAAAAAAAGCAATTTGGTATTATGGCTGTAGAAAACTATTATTTTTCAATACATGAGCCATGAGATAGGGGAGCAATGGTACGCCCTCGTGCACTTATTAGCTATACACTTCTAGTAGGAGGACCATGCAACCATTAATCTCGACCAGAACGACGAAGACAAATATCTCCGTACTTTCCAATCAGATCTTCCTCAAAGTAACAAATAGAAGCGTTTACATTTTGTTCTTGGCTTTCACCCTGGCCTGGCGCGTTCCCCAAATTTATACCTCCATTTGTATCTAAGAGGGATAACCCACCTTGCCACAATTGATGTATTCGACGGCCGTCTCCCTGAAGAAGAAATAAACGAAGTCCCCCTGGGTCATGGATCCGACGAAATCGGGAGCTGTGGAACAAAAGAAGAAGACATCGATCAAGTTGGCGGTATCAGATCGCCCGCGGTCCCTTGGGACATGTCAATTGCAGAGATGATTTTTCACAGGGATAACTATATACTCTGAGATGCTCATAACATAAACATTGTATAAACCTGACGTAGGTACATACTCTTCCATATTGAATCTACAAGACATGTATTGAAACAAAGCTAATATTTTCTATTTTCATTGAATCTGTGAACGGATTCACTAGATTCACTATCTACTCGTTCATTGACTATACGTATATCTATGTTATCATCTTCAAAGAGTCAGTGAATATGTGCATACACGATAAACGAATTACATCATGACTATGTAACAATTCGCTTAAATTGTACAGTGTGTCCTGTTTTCGATGCTTTGGCGTGATATCTCAGTTATCTTTGGAGATAGAACCTTATCAGATTTTGCATAACTGTTTTCGTTTATGAGATATAGTGCTAATTTGTAAATTCATACTTTTTGGACCTCCTTTATATCTCTTAAGTTTCTCAGCGAAATTGTCGAATGAAAATCTCATTTCATTGAGAATTTTACGCAGAATCCAGTGGCGCACTTTTTCAGGGGTATGGTTTTGAAGAAACGACTCAAACTTATGATTTTAAAAATAGAACACCCTGTATTTCATAAGCTCAATGAATTCCTCATTATTTTCTCTTCAAAATGATATAAAATTCACCAAAATCACTAAAACATTTTAATAGTGGGCTATGGATCTTTCATATAAACAATTTCCAATTGAAGGAATGTTTTTTTTCAATTTTTTTCATTCAATGGCGGATTTATATATAAAAAAAAACTAGGACCAATTCTGAAATAAAATGTTGAACCTTTTTATTCTTATGAGACTGTTAACAAACTGATTTTAGTACTGTGTATAAACATATAAACATAAGCATGAGAACCTTGAAAGTTCATTAATTTGAACTTTTCTGCTTATGCAGATGTTAAAAAAAATCACAAATTCTCTCTAAATTCTTATGCTCGACGTTAAGTTTTAATGTTTCTGGTACCCCAAATCCTTGAGACGACATCCTAAAAACAAGTACTATGCTTAGAAATAATACTATATGCAACTTTTGCAGAAATCCGCAATCAGTGAAGTATTGTCTCATCAAAAACAGACTGTCAGGGGTTTGGCCGAAAAGGTGTCTTCCATGAATAGGGAAATTCTGCCTAAAATTACATACTCTAAGCACTTCGGATCATAGAGAGCAGAGAAATTTGTTATAGGTAACTAACTATTTGCACACCATGTCAAGAAGCATGTATTTTTCGAAAATGTTATTCATATTGAATGTTCTCCGAACTTATGACCAAATGAAAAATCGAGTGTAACTGTCATTTTAGGCTTATACAGGGTGTCCGCTAAAAGGAGGTCAATCCATCAACCATATATTCCTTGAATAAAAATAATATGAGTTTCTAAATACCATTTTTCATTTTAGCCCTTCTTATTCGATATACAGGGAGTCAAAGTTGGAAACTGAAAACTGTTTTTTTCTAACTACTCGCGTAATTAATAAGATATTAATCTCAAAATTGGTACATTACTTCAGCACAAAGAGTTACATCGTGTGAGGAAAACAAAACAGGAAATAACTGTCAAATATTCAAAATACTGGGGGTCAAGTACACACTTACCCCCATATTTTTTTTGTACGTACGCTAATGACTTCCTATCTATCTTTCTTCAAGTGTTCAATCATTTTCGAGTATTTTTTGATTCTTGTAAAATTCCGATAAACTCTTTTTTTTTAAGATAATTCGAAAAGTACTGGTTGTTGTTTGATGCCTCGCGGCTTACGGTAATCTCATAATGTTCACATACTCCTATTTATTTCGTCGAAATTGGAAGAGGGCGTATCTTATTACGTAAGGAAAGGTAAATATGGAAATACCGGGTGCTCAGAGCGAATGTATTAAAATAATTTTTACACTTTAATTTTTTTTTGTAAAAATCGTCGTCGTCTTAACTGTCAACTTCAAATCGGTCTGAAATACTATGCCATTTTACCTTGATGCGTTGTATGTCTTTTTACCTCGAATGCATCAAATGTCAGAAACATAACATAGTTTCAATTGAATGTAGGATAAAATAATGTTCGAATCCATCGAGAAGATGAATACTAATGATCATCCTAGCATCAGATACAAATATAGTTTCAAATTATCAACACGTGTTCACAATATTCTGATTAAATCTAATTTGAATAATTATACCGGATATTTACAATTCTGAAAAACATTGAAAACGGTGAAACCATAGATATCAGAGAGACGCCATAAAGACCTTATGGGGTATCTCTTATGAAAAGGTATAAACAGAGTGCTACCAATAGGAATACTGGCACTCACACGTTTCTAGTTCTGTGCAAAGCGCTAAATTCAAAATAAGGTCCGTATGTAATTTTACCCAAGTATGTCATTATATGCAGAACTCCCCTTCCTCTTTTAGAACAATTCAATATCAAGAGAAGAAATACCTATACACGCTTTCTTCGAAAGCCGATAGAATTAAACTCGCGAGACATATTTCATGGCGGTAAACTTCCATTTTCCACAATGCGACGAATCGTTCGACCGGAAAAACCGGAGGCTAAACCATTTCCAGTATCGGGACAGCAATTCCGGCTAGATAGAAAAAAAAGGAAAACTCACCGTTGAGACTCATCGAATCGTATTGTTCGGTCTGTAGCGGTTCCCTGTAGATAATGGGGTCCATTCCGCTGAAATCGGCCACCGTGCCGGTATAGAGGTCTCCGTCTGAAACAAAGGAATCGTTGGTGTCATTGTATTCCATTCTCCACGGCTGGCCTGGATCGGGATTCCAGAAATGTATCGGGGACCAAGCGTTATAGCCCTCAGTGGAAAAAAGGGGGTATTTACGCTCCAGAGTAGTGAAGTATGCACGGAAAAAGGATCAATTATTGATATTCGCTTGAGCTATTTTTGTTGATACGGTACATTTTTTTTCTACAAGCGTGCGTGATTCACCATATACCCGCACGCAATTTAGTTTGGGAAGTGTCATTTTCCCGCAGTAGTGCGGGAAAAACATTCATATAATATTCTCGTATTTAGTTAGTTTGTACAAAATCATCCATCAAATTGCACTATTTATTGTGAAAATGAAGACATATTGAAAAATAATAATTGAGTCTTATATAAATCCCCCTATAGCCTTTGATTGATCTGTTGTGGGAAACAATTGTTGTCATGTCAATCAAAACACAAATTAGTTAGTGTAATGGGCGTGTACACCTTAGTAGAACTTTTAACTCAAACCATGATTATAATAATCCTTTTATACATAAATAATGATTGACAACATAATTCGATCGAAAAATTAACTAGAATGTTTTATTTTTGGACATAAATAATAGTGCCTTCTGAAAACGGACCCTCTTATGACGTAGAAACCTCATCTCGCCATAGTTAAAAGAAAATACCAAACGCCCGACAGAGACTGAGGCAACTGATATATCAATTCTTTCAACTGTGATCTCGAGCTAATTCACTCTGTCAGAAATCATGTATCATTCATCTTTGTCTGGAATAGTCTTGTTTCAGTATTAGGGTTTTGACGTCACATCATCGCCTCGTTTTCAGAGGTCCGAACAATCGGGGATTTCAATAATTTTTCATAAAACGTAGGGAGCTCACAGCAAGAAACGGTTTGCGGTGGTGAGCTAATTTGGGTGAGTTCTATGGAATTATGAAATAATTTTTTTTTGTGATATAAGCCCATTCTCAGCATGAAAGACAGAGCGTTACTGTCATTTTCGATTTAGGGGAATTGCGATGAAAAACTTCCAGCTACAGATGCGATACAGATGAGTTATTGCCAACTTTGTGTCAATCCAAGTCCACACCAGATTGAGTAACTAGTTCCTAGCTACCCTTCGAATTATATTGACACAAAATGTCTCAGAAGTATGGAAAATGTTCGAAAAATCATTCACACAATTTTGACTGAAATTCAAGAATGTGAGTTCTTGATGAAACTATAATAATTGTGCATTTCTATTTTAACAAGAAGCTTCACTCATAAGAATTTTTCAACGTGTAACTAGACTAGATACATGTTTATTTCGAAACATATCTTGATTGAATCAATGACTGACTGACAAAAAAACACCCCAACTATTCATTTTGAGAAACAAAAGAGCAATTGAACCGACTCATCAGACACCATGAGTAGAATCATAATCTTGACAAATGTGTAAACGTCAGCGACTGTCAACTTTTATAGAGGTCTCTGTGTGAAACAAATGAATCGTTGGTGTCATTGTATTCCATTCTCCACGGCTGGCATGGATCGGGATTCCAGAAATGTATCGGGGACCAAGCGTTCGACTCCAAGAGTGATGGTCCTCAGTGGAGGAAAAGGGGTATTAACGCTCCAGATTAGTGAAGTATGCACGGAAAAAGGATCAATTGATATTCCCCCGAACTATTCTGAATTTTTTAAAATTGACTAGATACCGCTCGAACTATGCTTGTTGATACGGTAACATTTTTATTAACTAGACTAGATATGTTTATTTCTAAACATACGATTGAATCAATAGTTTAACAGAATGGGCGTGTACACCTTAGTAGAACTTTTAACTCAAATCATGTTTATAATGACCCTTTTATACATAAATAATGATTGACGACATAATTCGATCGAAAAATTAACTGGAATGTTTTATTTTTGGGCATGAATAATAGTACCTTCTGAATACGGACCCTCTTATGACGTAGAAACCTCATCTCGCCATAGTTAAAAGAAAATACCAAACGCCCGGCGGAGACTGAGGCAACTGATATATTAATTCTTTCAACTGTGATCTCGCGCTAATTCACTCTGCCAGAAATCATGTATCATTCATCTCTGTCTGGAATAGTCTTGTTTCAGTATTGGGGTTTTGACGTCACATCATCGCTTCGTTTTCAGTGGTCCGAAAAATCGGGGATTTCAATAATTTTTTATAAAACGTAGGGAGCTCACAGCAAGAAACGGTTTGTGGTGGTGAGCTAGTTTGGGTGACTTCTATCGAATTATGAAATACATTTTTTTTGTGATACAAGCCCATCACTGACAAAATATGCCCCAACTATTCATTTTGAAAAACAAAAGAGCAATTGAAAAAACTCATCAGACACTATAAGTGGGATCATTATTTCATCAAATGTGAACGTCAGCGATTGTCAACTTTTATATATGGAGGTATCCACCTCAAACAAAGGAATCGTTGGTGTCATTGTATTCTATTCTCCACGGCTGGCCTGGGTATACAGTACTCCGCATTCGAGAACATCACATTATTCGAGCTCTATTTCAAAACAAGCATCCGATATCCCGATCGATTGTAATGCTGCCAGACGCTTGATACTGGAGTTGTTTTCTCTTGTTGAACGTTGAATAATGTTCAAGTTTGATTTTTAACCGATTTCAAGCGTGACGAAGTAATTTATCTTATTCAAGAAAGCACATGATTTTGAAATAAAGTTTGTCAAGATCAATGATTGCTTATACATGAAATCTATAATTCTCGAAATTAAGTTTTTGAACCGGAACAAACCGTATTACTTGGTGACGTCATAACCACACAAGGAAATTGTTGTTTGCAAATCGTTTTGAACACGGTTCAATAAAAAAAAACTTTTAGTCCTGCGAAATTTTGGATTTGCAAATGTAATGATATATGCGGATATAAGGCAGGAGAATATCCTTCCTGCACAATTAAGAGACTACTTTTTTCAAACAATCAAACCTGACTCGGACCAAATGAACCTTGCAAAACACTGCCGTGTCTCTGGATGTGAAAAACGCTCATCCTGAAGATCCTTATCGGAATAATGGAACCAAACTATTAAATTATTCTATTGTCATCAGTCCTCGATAAGTATGAAGTTTCTCTGGATGTAACTATAAACGACTAATTGATGTAAGACACTGCCGTGTTTGGTCTGGTTTGGCGAATGACCATTTTGAAATTTAGGTGGTGGTTATTCGAAAAAAATCGCTCATCCTGGAGATCCTGATCAGATAATGGAACAAAATTATTAAACTTAGCTATATTATCATCGGTCCTTGATAAGTGTGCGAAGTTTCAATTTAATTCGTCGTTTTGAAGTGGATCAAAATAACCCGTTTCTCTGGATGTAACTATTCATACGAGCACTTGGTGAAAGACACTGCCGTGTTTGGTCTGGTTTGGTTAAGGAACATTTTGGAATTTTGGTGGCGGAACGTCATTAATCATTTTATTCGAAAACAAGTCGCTCACTCTGAAGTTCCTGATCAGATAATGGAACAAAATTATTAAATCATGCATTGTCATCGGTTCTCATGATAAGTGTGCGAATTTATTTCGACTGTCTGTTAAATGTCAGAGAGAAGCAGAATATGAAATGACCCATCAGATACTATAAGTAGGCTCTGATCATTATATTGTGAAATTTCAAGTGTTGTAACGTCGACGACTGTCAACTGTTTTTTATTTCAAATAGCACCATATGTTTTTCCTGTTCGATATATTTTTTTTATACAATATATGACAAGTTGATTTCTGGACAAAATTAGTTGAGATAAAAACTTTATGCTCAGTTGAACAGAAATACATATTTACATAAAATTTTGAGATGTACAGATTATAGATATTTTGACAACGAATATGAATCAAGTGTGCTGTGAAAAATCAAAATGTTCAAACTAGTGTTTGTTATGTTGAACACACAATCCCCACTCACTGATTGCTTGACTTGAGGCGACTAACGGTAAGTCGCATTGTAAGCCCCCGTTACTAGATATACGCCACTGCAACACAAATGATTTGTTCATATCGAACAAATCCTTTTTTTTTTCTTCGTGCCCTACAGACTAACTTCCAAGAGCCGACCCTGCTCGCGGGATGGTATCTCGCTATGGCTATCCCTTACTTGCAAACAATAAAAGTTGAATTGTCTCATCGGTTTTCGTTTGCCAGATAATTTCCAGAACAGAGCAAAAAAGGCACATTGTTCAGGAAATGCGAGCCAGAGATACTGATATTTCAGACGTATTTGATATCCATTGTTTTTTATTCAATGGATATTATTCGTTTGTCTTCAAATACTAATGTTTCAGAATGGAATGAAAGAAGGAAGACGTTTCTCGAACGAAACCAAAAGTGTGGAGTTCACCTACTCCCACTGTTTCAATGGAGGTTCATAGGAGAAAATACATATATGCCAATACATTCAACATAATATAAGCAGAGTGGCACAACGATATCTAGAGTTAGGAATTTGGGTTCATATGCAGGGTGATTCATTTCATCTTAGCAAAACTCTCACAATTGACAGAAGCCTCAACTTTGAGATAAAGTTCTCAAGAAAATTTGAAAATTTCACAGCTAAAATTTTCGGCCAAGTGAAAACCTGTTTTTTGTATCGTTACCATAGCAACTAAACAAATTACACTGGACAGTTTTTGACGTTTATCGGTAAAATTTCCATTTGACTTCAGATTACGTCGAATTCATTTTATAAGTTGGTAAGTTCCTTGTGAGAAAATATATTTCTAGCAACTTACTTACTTACTTTTCATTATTTTATTCAACTAAAGTCGCTTATCATATTCTATTCAACATATCAATATTACGTGAGCAAATTTCATTCATACTCAATAGTACTTCGAGATTCTTGTGAGAAAATATTTTGCGCAATCGGCTAAAAAGTCGTCCGGTTTTGTTCCAAAATTAGCTCTTCAAGTCAACGTTTCTCTTACTGAC